CCTCTTATCAGAGTCGCGCGTCACTGAGCAGTGCAAGCTCGACGCGAATTGGTTCAATGCGGTGTAGAACTGTTACCATGCCTGGAATTCTCGTCACTCAGGCGAATGTTGCGAGTCTGATCTGATACGAGGCTCATGGGAACACACTCCTCAGTCAACACTGCACCGCGGGAGAATCCATGTCGGTCAGCCCTAGTTGGTCATGAAGGAATATGCAGCAGATTCCTTCCGGCTTTGGTGTGCTGTCACATTTTGGCGTCGAGGTTGCCACTTGCTACCACAGTCTGATAGAACGTGACAACCTGTGACGCAGGCAACCTGTGATTGTTAGCCTGCATTGTGGCATGACGATGGTCCTCACCATATACACGATCATGTGCAAGAATCGTCAAAAATTGGCACAAAAGAACTGTCTACAATACAGTTCAATTCCACTTCATAAACATAAAAGTATCATTCCATAGCCCCCGGGCGTTATACAAAATGTGCCATTAATTATACCCCTTTGAAAATTTACATGGGTATTTAATAACACCCCTGGGTGTTTTTATCAAATTGAAAGATTGAATGATAGCTAGTGAGAGTGTACAGACAGATATACCTATGAATTGTACCCTCTAAGAGGCGACCCTATACAGTCTATACAAACATGACACATACACATGTTTGACACACCCCCTAGACTGCATAGGGGAACGTCCTAAACAAGCAGCTCAGGGCGGCACTACTAGTCCAACCTCTGAGACAAGGGTCTGAGAGACCAGTCAGAATGAGTACAAACAAGGCAAGAACAAGAGCAGGGCGGCACTACTAGTCCAGCTACTGGGAGAGGACACAAGTCCAGTCTGAGAATACATATAAAGGACGGTACAAAGTCAAGGTCCTAGCAAGTGAGAGGCTACAGGAACTAGACCAAGCTGTACACAGTGCCGCTGATGATCTTTAGACGCAAGCGCCTTCGTAAAGATATCAGCCGTGTTGGCACCTGAGGCCAAGTGTACTACGCGAGCCTGGCGTCGCTGCTGTAGCTCACGCAGGAGGAAGTACCGCAGCTGAATGTGCTTCGCTCTGCCCTCGAGTCGAGGCTCCTGACACAGGAGGATCATCGCCCTGTTGTCAGCGAACAGGACCGGGGCAGAGCTAGGCGGTCATGGCACCAGCGTAGATCTCAGCCTCACAGCTGGACTACGCCACAGACGAGGAGCGGCTAGCTCTCCACTAGACGGCACCTGAGCCAAGGCTAAAGCAGTAGCCCTGGGTAGACCTGAGCGTCTCAGCGTCGTCTGCCCACGAAGCGTCTGTGTGTCCAGTAAGGACCACTGGCCTGCGTCCTCCTAGCACTACCCCCATGCCCGATGTACTAGCAAGATAACGCAGAACCCTCTTAGCGGCAGACCAGTGCTGCAGTCGGTGTCTGCCTATGGCCACAAAACGAGCCAGGATGCTGAGAGGGTATGCGAGATCTGGGCGAGTGCAAGTCATCAGGTACATGAGGCAACCCACCAGCTCTGCGTAGGGGCCGCTGGGCTCTACCAACTCCTCAGACACTGGAGCGGAGAGCCTGTGGTCTACAGGCAGAGGGGTGGGCTGTGCAGAGGAGAACTGAAGGCTGAACCTCTGAAGGACCTGGCGCACCAAGTGTGACTGAGTCAGGGTGATGGTGCGCGCAGCTCTGTCCCTAGAGATCTGCAAGCCAAGGTAACGGCGCAGTTCTCCAAGGTCAGTGCACGTGTGTCTCTTCAGCAGCTCTGCCTTCACGGAGGTCAGTGCGTCCCTGTCTGCTGTGGCAAAGACCAGGTCGTCGACGTAAACAAGGATGTAGAACGGAGTCTGGCCAGCACGAACGAAGAGTGAAGGGTCTGCAGAAGACGGAAAGAACTGCAGGTCAGCAAGCGTAGCACGGAGAGTGTCGTGCCACTCACGGGGAGCCTGGCGCAGGCCGTAGACGGGGCGCCGCAGGAGCCACTGGGTCCCAGGAGGGAAGGTGCCAGTAAAGCCCTAAGGGCGACGTAGGTAGACCTGCTCGTGTAGGCTGCCCTGAAGGAAGGCAGTGGAGAAGTCGAGGGAGTGAAGCTCGTAGTCACGCTGAGCAGCTAGGTGTAACAGAACCCGAAGAGTAGTCATCTTCGGGGTCGGAGCGAAGGTCTGGAAGAAGTCCACCCCCTCGCGCTGACTGAAGCCTCTAGCCACATAGCGCGCCTTGATCACAGGCGGCTCTCCAGGAGGGCGCTTCACCTTGAAGAGCCAGCGGCCATCAACTACGTTCACCCCAGGCGGGGGAACTGCGTCGACGAAGGTGCCGGTGGATCTCCAAGATGCCATCTCCTGCTCCATGGCAGCTATCCACTGAGAGGCCCAGGGTCCCAAGGTCGCCTCAGTGTAAGTGCGAGGGGTCGGGATGTCGAAAGCGTCTGGGTCACCCTCAGGGACTAGCAGCATGGAACAGAGATGGGGAGCAGCCTCCGACAGGAAAGCAAGCTCGAACTGGCGGTCCTCCAGGACGTCACTCCCAAGGGCAGAAGCACCCCCGACAGACAGAGGACAGGCAGGGTCAGAGACCAGAGCGGTGGCGTAGTCAAGGCGGCGGGTAGAGGCGAAGTCAGCGACCGCAGCGACTAGGGTGTCAAGGCTCGAAACTGGAACAGACGGGTCGGTAACAAGAGTGGCAAGGACCCGAGGAACAAGAGGACGGGCAGCACGAAGGTAATCAGACAGCGGGGGGGGTGCAACAACAAGGGAGGACAGAGGAGGCAACGGCAGAAGGGGAGGACAAGACGCGTGGGAACGAAGCAACGTAGGGTGGGAGCGCAGGACAGGCGAGGCAGGACCAGCACGGGAGGGACGGTGAGACCAGACGTGCGACGGAGGAGTCGGGTCAGGAGACAGAGGAGGGGACACAGGAGGAGAACGAGGGGGGAGACGGGCCGGGGACGAGTCCGGCGGGGGGAAAACAGGGCCGTAGACAGGAAGAGGAGGAGACGGCCGGGGAGGAACCGACGCAGGGTCGGGGGACGGAAGGCCGAGCAGGCGAAGGGCTGACACCGGCGGGGACTGCTGCTGCGGCGGCACAACGGCGAAACCTGGACCGGAAGCTGCTCCTCGGCTACCACCGGCACTCTCCACACCAGCACCCCCAGAGGGACCACCCCCAGGGCTACCGGGACGAGCACCCCCACAGGCAGCTATCGGGTGCTGCGACGGCGGCGGCGGCGGCAGCGACGGCTGCAGCGGCGGCAGAGGCGGTGGAGGAGGGGACTGGGGAGGGGACGCCAGGGGAGGGGACGCCAGGGGAGGGGCAGCTGGCGAGGACTGAGCAGGAAGGCCACCAGAGTCAGAAGACTCCTCAACCGGGTCCACCGACGGAAGGGGGGTGACGTGGGACACACCAGAGGGGGCGGGACGGGGAGGAGGAGGAGGAGGGGCAGGGACTACCGGGGAAGGAGGGACCAGGAACGAGGGGGGGGTAACCGGGGGACCACGGTGGGGGAAGCGACGGTAGTAGGAGACGGACTCGTCAAAGGTGACGTCACGAGAGTGAAAGAAGCGGTGAGACGGCGGGTGGTAAAAGTGCCAGTCGGACGCGTCAAGGGGAAAACCGAGGAAGACGCAGGGAAGGGTGCGGGCAGTGAGCTTGTCCGTGCCGGAGGCACGGACGTGAGCAAGGCAGCCCCAGACGTGGAACGCAGACGCGTCACCAGGAGACCCAGTCCAAAGACGAGTCGGCGAAACCTGCGGCTGCTGAGGGTGCGGCCACAAGTTAAGCTGGTGAGAAGCGTAGCGCACAACGAACGGCCACAGAAAATGGGGTGCACCGGCATGGATCATGGAGGTGTGAGCCACCTCCATGACCAAACCGATGCGTCGCTCAGCAACCCCATTCTGCTGTGGGGAGTCCGGTAGGGTGAACGTCTGGGTGATGCCCTCCGCACGACAAAAACGACCAAGGACACCTGAGGCAAACTCGCCACCACGGTCGGAGTGAAGACGCAAGACAGGGAGACCGCGGTGGACACGCGCAGAGACAAGCCAGGGGATGAGGGCGCCAGGCACGTCGGCCTTGCGCTCCAGGGGAAAGACTGTGGTGTAACGAGTGAAGTCGTCGACAAGCACAAGGAAGTAGCGCTCTCGACGCGGCCCAGGGACCGGGGCGAGGCCCCAGACGTCCAGGTGCAGTGTCTGCAACGGCGCGGCGGTAGGGGGAAACGAGGAGGAGTGAGGGGCACGGCGAAGCCGACCCTCGACGCAAGGCGTGCAAGCTGGGGCTGGGGAGGAGGGAAACGCAGGGAGAGAACCTGGGAGACCAAGGACAAGACCGTGCTGGGACATGTGACACAGACGCGGGAGCGCAGGGTGACCTAGGCGGTGGTGCCAAAGGAGGGTCGGGTGAGTGAGAGACCGACAAGAGCAGGCAGCAGCAACCTGGGTGAGCGCTCCAGCCGGGGGGGTCACGGTGTCCAGAGTGAACAGGCCGGACACCGGGTCCCGGGGGAACGTTGACAGGGGGGCACCAGTGGCGGCCTCGGTACAGACAGCATACCGCTCGTGACCAGGGAACGTAGTGGTGACGCCAAGGTCCTGGAGGCAGCCGACACCAACTAGGTTCCTGGAGAACGAAGGGATATGCAGACCTGTAAGAGAGCCCGAAGGAACCGCCGGACAGGGAAGGGTGGTGGAACTGCGGGCGACGACCGGACCGCCAGAGGGGTCAGCGAGAGAAACGGCAGCAGGGACGGAAAGCGGCGTCAGTGTGGTGGAGTCGCGGAAGAAACACCGAGAAGCGCCAGAGTCCAAGGTGAAGGAAAGCGAAGCAGAGGCGTCTGGCGACGGAACGACGGCGGAAGCACCAAGACTACACAAAGCAGGAGATCCTACACCTGACGCAGCAGGGGAGGCTAAGCTAGGCACACCTACACTAGGCAACAGTGAGTAATAAGCTGGAAGCACACTAGAGTCATCAGCATACATCACATGCAGAGCAGAAACAATGGCATCCATGTCCATATCAAAGATCTGAATCTTACGACTAAGCAAACTGTGCCAGTCCGGGAGGTCTGGCAACGGGCCGAAGCGCTGACGAAAGAGGTCGTCCAGGCGACGAAAACAGCGGGGAGTGGAGTGACCGAGCCTACCGCAAACGAAACCGCGGCGAGGACCGGTCTGGATCTGGTACTGACAGCGCCCGCCGCCAGAGCTACCACTCAATACGGTAGGTTTCCCCGATGAAATGAAGCGCGCTGCCTTTACAAGAGGACCCAAGCAAGCTTTCACAGTAGCCTTTTTTTTAACGTCAAGCCCGCTGGGGAATCCAGTCAACTCATGCCAAGATGGTACTGGGTGAATACAGTGCGATACCAAGGGCTACGATGACACAAACCCCGAGTATAAGCGGCCATTAGTGGACCTGAGAGTGTGAATGATCTGGCTCCAGCGGGAGGTGAGTGCACCGGCAAGGTAATCACACTCTGATGCAATGAGAAGAGAGGAAAAGCTGGCCGCAACTGCATCAGTCTCTTGTAGGGCCGTGGTCGTGGGTTGGAGGAACAACCAGGAGGATTGCAGATGTGGCCGGCTGAACATGCTCACGAGTTGACTCGGCGGCATAGCCTGCAAGGGTGCGTACAGGTGGTTTATTGGCGATCAGAGATGCTTGCAGCGACGGGGAGGGAGTATTAACAATGAACGCACGGCTACAAGTGAGGAAATGCCCAGTACGTAAGAAGGAAAGGGCAAAGAGGGAAGTGGCAAGACCACAACGTAGCTGATGAGAGCGAGTGGGGGGGTGGGGGGAGGATGGAGGGAAGTGAGAGCAAGAGCATGTGGGAGCAAATAGAGGAGGGTTAGACGCCCATGCACAAGCACATCCCCGCCCCCACTATCCCTCCCTCTCCTCCCCCAACCACCAACCCTCTCCTCTATCTCCCCCCTCTTCCCCCACAACACACCAGCTTCTCTGCAGAGAGCCACACGTATCTGAGCCCGGGGTCCTGCTGTCGCAGCCTGTCTCCCAGCAGCAGCAGCCGCAGCACCCCATCTGCACCACTGCCTGCCTGCTCCTCCACATGCATGCTCACTACAGGCCGAGGCATCAACACCTCCCTCCCAACCCTCTCATAGGTCACCAGCAAAACCGGCTTCTCCTCTGGAGTATCCTCCTCATTGGCAGACTCAGCCCCTGCACCACCCTCCCCACTCTCCCCTCCACCTCCACCACCCTCACTCCCCTCCTTTCCCTCAATCCCTCCTGTCCCTTTCAGCCCTATCTCTACATCATCCCCGCACCCAGAGTACCCCAGCCCAGGCCAGACATCCGTTTCCAGGTTGTGGTGTTTGGAGAAGTTGAGAGCAGCCAGCACATTAGCCTCGGACTGGATGTCTATGCCCAGCTGCTGGTGCGCGTCCGAGTGCCGGGCTCGCAGCGTCGCAATGATGGCCCGCTGCTCAGCCACGTGTGCTGCGGAGTGGGTGGCCACGCGCAGCCCATACGCGGAGTGGCGCATGTGGTTGGTGGCGTGGCAGAGGTGCGCCGAGGGCCAGCGGAGGAGGAAGCGCAGAGCCTGTGCCTGCCACCAGTACGCCTGGGGAAAGCGGAGGACGGTGGGGAGTCGCGACAATAGTCTCACTTGCACTTACAACGTTCCGTTACAAAGCCAACTCCCACCAGTGCTGCCGTGAATAGTTGGCGCATGGCATGGCATGGCATTACCTGCATGTGTTCGTCTGTGGTGTTGACCATCACGCCCTTCTCCTCCACCAGGTATGCTCGCTGCCTGTATGCATCACCCCATGCACTGCCCGGTGAGGGGGGGGAGTGGGGGGGGGGGGAGGAGATGGAATGAGGAGGGCGACAGCGAAGGCTGGGCAGTGAGCAGCAAGTGGCGAGAAGAATGCAGTGCAGCAACGGCGGGAGAGACCAGCTTAGGCATCACCATTTCATTTTCCTTTCCCAACGTCTCAAACATGCATTCTCAGAAAACGCAACACACACAGAGCGCACTGCGCTGCGCTGCACGAAGCCACGGCATGCCCAATCCAAGGCCCCTTGCATGTGCCTAGTACCTACCTAGCAGCGGTAGAGTCAGGGTGTGTCACGGGGTCAATAGTCGCTTCAGCACAGACGAGGGAGTCGTTGGACGCCATGGCACGGGCGAGCTGCGAGAGCGGCCTGCACTGGGGCGAGCCTGCAGCGCGATACTGCTGCAGGGCTGCTGCCTCGCACGCTGCTGAGACAGAGCGGAAGAAGTAGCAGTGCAGCGACGCAGACGCGTTCAGGCCTGGGGGAGGGTGCACGTGGGGACGGGAAATAGGGGGGAGAGGGGGGAGGGGGAGAGGGGGGAAAGGGAGCAGGGGAGGATGTGGAGAGGAGGGGGAGATGGGGGGGGAGGGGGGGCGAGCCGGGTAGGAGGTGAGGGGTTGGTGGGCAGTACTGTGAGTGCATGCAGGCATACAGAAAAGCAGAGGCAAAGAGGCAGATTGAGTGAGTGGGGACTGGTACGAGGGGGAGGTGGGTTGAGGTGGGTGGGTTGGCACTAGGCAAGCGGGCAGTTCATGCGGGAAAGGATTGGAGTGAGCCACACAAAGGTGGGAGAGCGAATACAGGCAAGGAGCGACAGCGAAGGGCGCGACTAGAATGAGACGGGCACATCGAGAAGAACAGCGGCGCAGCCGCGAATGAGACCCCTTCGTGTACGGGTGCAGGAACGAGTTCGGCACAGGCTTCACGCAAAGCAGGGAGTAGAAGCCTTGTATGGCGATCTCTGCTATGTGGGAAAGAATGAGCTCCAGAGATGAGAAGTATATGTGAATAGGAAACTCCATGGTGAGAGCAACACAGGCAGCACCCCTGCGCGCCACGTCGATAACTCCGGGTCATCAACTTCCCCAATCTGTCCGTGTCACACCAGGCTCACCGTGGCAGTGGGAGTGATTGGCGGGCTGGAAGGTGCCTGGCATGGGCACCAGCACGCGCTGGCTGCTCACTGCTGCACTCAGTGCTCCACCCATCGCCACCAGCTGCTCCGCCAACTCTGCCGGACGAAAGCCGCTCTCGCCGCCGCTGCCGCCGCTGCTGGTGCCGGCCGCTCCCTCCCCCCCTGGCGGTTCCACCTGCGGCCACTTGACGAGCAGCAGGCGCTGGGCGTCACACACCCCCGGGGGGAACTGGTGCAGCCACAGGTCCCTCTGCACCACGCGCGTTAGAGCCAGACTCGCCGCATCAGCACCACGGACCTACGGGTGCGGCGCGATGGGGGTGGGGGTGGGGGGGGCGGGGTGGGTGCAGCGGGGAAGTGCAGTGCAGCAGGGGGGTGCAAGGGGGGCGTGCAGGGGAGCAGGGGACGGGGGAAGGGAGGAGACGGAGGGGAGTAGAGAGGGGAGGGGAAGGATTGGGCAGGTGGGAAAAAGGGGTTATGGAGATGGTGGGGTGAGAGAAGTAGCTTGGTGATTGGTGGGGGAATGATGAAGCAGAAGGGGTGATGGAAGAAACATGCGCAGGAGAAGTGGAGGATTGATGCTTCAGGTGCTGAAATGAGGAGAGATGCGAGACAAGCATGCCTGTCATGAAAACACTAGGTGGGGCAGCAAAGTACTGGAGATGGGCTGAAAGGGCAGATGTTTAGATAGGATACATGGTTGCCTCACCCTCCAAGGATACATGGTTGCTCCAGCCACTGCTATGCACAAAGCATACCAGCACGAACGATACTCCGAAAAAAAAAATTGTCACGCTGCTGCATGCCACCTCAGTCCACTCCAGGCCACCTCACTCCACCGCACACTGCTACACTCTAGCCAAAGCCCCTCCCAGCGTCTCACCCATGGGGGTTGCGGCACATTGCCACACGCAGCAGACGCACGCACCCATCCCGGTGCATCCCCCTCCCTCCCGTCCTCCTTCTCGCCAAACCCCCCACCCTCCGCCAAGCGGCCTGGCCCCCCCTCCGCCCCGTCCTCCCCCCCTCCCCTGCGCTCTGAGGCGAGGCGGAAGGCAGTGCGCCTGGCGCAATCCTCCAGGTGGGGCGCGGGGGGGAGAGACGCCAGGATGGTGATGGCTGGTGGGGGGAGGGTTGAGTTGGGGTAGAGCGCGAAGATCTGCGACCATGCGTCATACAGCCCTGTGGGGGTGGGGCTGGAGTGAAGGAAGGGGGTAGTGGGGGGGAACGGGGGAGGGGGAGGATGCGGGAGGATGGGGAAGATGAAGAGAGGGGGGAGGGGGAGAGGGCAAGGTGGGAATGGGGAGATGGGGGCGCTGAGGGTGGATGGAGGTGCGCAGAAGGATCGGCGCAGAGGGGCGGTGGAGAGACGGGTAAAGAGCTCTTCTCATGCCAGTGAGGAAAAACAGGAGACGAGAGGAGAGGGGGACGGTGAGGGGGTAGGTGAGGGGGAGGAGAGGGAACGACGACTCTGAATGACGCAGAACGGTAAGAGGAAGCGTGTATATGCAGAGCGTTTGCTAAGGAGGAGTGCACCGCGCTCGTCAACAACGCGGAGCAGCGCGACTGTGCAATGCGACTGTGTTGTGCGACTGAGCAGCGCGACTGTGTTGTGCGACTGTGTTGTGCGACTATGGTGGGAGCAATCCACCGAGTACAATCGCGAATGACGCCACAGCCAGTCTTTGCGGTCAAACTGCGAGTCACTGTGAGAGCTCGCGGGACGATCGGACCCGCATCCACAACCGCATCAGCACCCACACCACCCCGACCCCGCAACTAACAACACCCCGATGCGCGTTTGCGCCCACCGCCGCTGCTCGGCTCCCCCTTCCCCCCCACGCACCGGGAAGCGGCGGACATGCCGGATATGAGGGGGGACCATGTCAACTCGAAGAACCACAGGGCGAACGACAGCAGCACGGCCAGCGCGAGCGCGAGCAGCAGCGCGGGGAGGCGGCGGTCACACAGCGCCGCGCGGCACAGCGCGCGCGCGCGGTGGAGTAGGGCACACGAATGGAGGAGTCCCCGCCGCGAGGCTGCCATGGTGCGCGCGGCGCATCAAGGGCGGAGAATGCGAGGCGAGAAGAAGCGATCACGGTTCGGAGAGGTCCACACCACAGGACATCTGGCCTACGGGCGGCTGTAGTGGGGCCTGGCTGTGTTTGGCTGTATTGGTTCTCTGATTGGGTAGCAGGCGACTGGACCTACACCCTAAATCTAGTTAACGTCAAATCATGTAGCATTACAACCGCCAGCGCGTGGCCCAAGTAAGATAAAGACTCAAGAGTCTGTTTTTTTATCCCTCGCCAATCCAACCCACGCCAACAGGGTTACCCCATAATTGTGCGACTGGTAGGAAACCATAAACGACGAGAAAGGATTGGCCACCCAAGAGCCCACCATCGCATGCGATGTCGCACAACGAAGTGCCTCCACAGGTCCATACCCCTTGGAAAATCAAGATCCAGAGTGTGTGCGTTCTTGGGACTCAAGTCCATGGCGGCAGCCACGTTGTAGGAAAAGTTCCCCAGCACTCCAGACAAGGTAACGGACACTATCGTCGATTCTCACCTCTCCCGTCCCACAAATTCTGTCTCGCGTCGCCTCCCTCTCTTCCGAAAGCGCACTCTCCTGCCCTTCGCGCTACTCTTCCCGCGACACTTGTTCTGCCGTCACGCTCCTCCCTCCCCCCCGTTGCGCTCCCCCCCCCCCCCCCCCGTTGCGCTCCTCCCTCCCCCCGTCGCGCTCCTCCCCCCCCCCCCGTCGCGCTCCTCCCCCCCCCCCCCCCCCGTCGCGCTCCTCCCTCCCTCTCGTCGTGCTTCTCCCTCCCCCTCGCCGCGTTTCTCTTTTCCCCTCGTCGCGAGGCGACTGGATAGGCGATGGCTAGGCGAGAGATACGCAGGGGGGAACAGCGTGGATTTGCTAGCGAAGAAAACAAGGATATGCACGCGGGATATGTATGGGGAAGGCAAGGGGTACGAGGCGAGGGAATGCAAGGGCCAGGCGTGGGGCCAGCAAGGGATATGCGCTGGACATTGAGAGAATAACGAGCGTTCTCTCCTTATCCCGCTCTATCCTTCTATGTTTCCCCCTCTCCCTTTGTCCGTTACCCCCTCCCCACCTCCCCGTATCTGACTCTCCTCCTCTCTGCTCCCTCCCTCTCCTCCCATCTGTATCACGCTCTCCTCGTCTATGTTTCCCCCTCTTCCTCCCCATTTCCCGCGCTGCTCACACCCGTTTTTCCCTCCTCCTCTTTGTCTTCCCCTCAGTTCCCCCTTGTATTCTCCTCAGATCCTCCTCTCTATTTCCCCCTATCCTCCTCTCCATTTCCCCCTATCCTCCTCTCCATTCCCCCCATCCTCCTCTCCATTTCCCCCTATCCTCCTCTCCCTTTCCCCCTGTCCTCCTCTCCCTTTCCCCCTATCCTCCTCTCCCTTTCACCCTATCCTCCTCTCCCTTTTCCCTATCCTCCTCTCCCTTTCCCCTTATCCTCCACTCCTTTTCCCCCTGAGCTCCTTTCCGTCCCCCCTTCTCCTCCTCCCTTTTTCCCCCTGTCCTCCTCTCCGTTCCCCCCTGTCCTCCTCTCCTTTTCCCTTTGTCCTCCTCTCCGTATCCCCCTTTCCTCCTCTCTATTTCCCCCTGTCCTCCTCTCCCTTTCCCCCCATCCTCCTCTCCCTTTCCCCCTATCCTCCTCTCTTTCCCCCTATCCTCCTTCCCCATCTCTCCCCCCCCCTTCCCTCTCATTCCTTTCCGCTGCTCCCATTGTCTCCCCCTGTTTTCATTCCACCCCCTTGCTCTGTTTCCCCCCCTGCTCCCTTGCTCCCTGTCACTCTATTTTTGAATCTTGGTCAGAGAGGCGAAATTCGCAGGGGGGGTGCGAAACGAAAAATGGTTTTGAAGGAACAGCGGTTGTCCTGAAGTATGATATGATATGCTTCAACTACTACGTTTGCATGGGCTTCTGAAGACCGTCGATCCGACCCCAAGGGACGAGCAGGATTTGCTCGGCCATCCCCTCAAGGGCGGTTGTGTCCGTCCTGACATGGGGAAGTTTTTGAAGAGTGTTTCCGGTATGCTGATCATTTCGCATATTGTTAAAGGAGTTTCGTTTGCAGTTTCGGATTTTTCGGCAAGCAGCAACGACGATTCGGATTGGTGTCTGAATGGAGCGAGGAGCTCGTCACGAGACAACAAGCTCGCGGATATCCCCAGGCAAAAAGGATTTCGTCAGGAGCGCGTATAGCAGACGTGGCTGCATGTGAAGTGTAGCTGATGTCAAAGGGCTCGGCGTTTCCGGCAGGCGACACACAGGTGAAGACGGGACTTCGGAGCTGTTCACAGACATGCAGTTGGAATTTTTGGCACGACCAAGATCGCACGTGCAACAAGTGGGGCTCAGGCACAGAGCAATCGGAGGGTGGCAAACCTCGGATTTTTGCGTGACCTGCCCGCCTGGAGGAGCAATTTCGTATGCCCTGGAGCTACTGTACAAGCTCAGCGAGAGCAGGTTTCCCGCAAGGAATTTGTTTTCGTGGTCAGAAAATTACACTCCACGGTCAACGGAGGAGGACGAAGACCCACCCGAGGGTATTTACTTTATTGTCTCCACGGGGTCACCGCAAAGGACCAACAGCTAAGAAATGAAGCAGTGGAAGAAGAACGATAAGGAACAGCTGGTTAAGAGTCAGCGGCAGACGGATCCCCCGACTGACTTGGCTGTCGCCCGATTTTCAGCATCTCCACCGGGTGGTTGTACGATACATGCTATCGACCGCTCTCGGACGAATAAAGGAGGATGAGCCAGCGGATCACCCTGTACTGGTGGATCAAGGAAGAAATGTTTACGGCGCTACACGACAAGCGACCGATTAGTGAAAATCGGACGCTCTACAGTGGGAGGCGCGAGAAGCTGGTTAACGAAAATAGCGAATGAGTTTTTTTACGACGATCGGACGGTACGCGGAGCTCGAGTCCGATACGAATGGCAAGGATATGTCGCTGCAATCGACGGAGTTGCGAGCTTTTCGAAAGAACGTGCGCGGTACTGTTGGGAGAACGACGAACGTGGGCGCTGGGTGAATAGTGGCCTACGGGGGTTTTATTGTGGAAGCAGCAGTTGAAGAATTTGCAGCAGTTTGGAGCAGATTTTTGCCGAGACGAATCTTTTAGGGAGGGGAAGGAGAATCCCTCACGTAAGCTGCAAAGCGGTTGCCCGCCAATTAGATTGATTAATTCGCCCAACTACGATAGCGTTTGCGCTTACCTGAGTACGGGCACACGGCGGATTCACCCCTGCTCTGAAGTGTACACATCAAATGGAGCTTCATGAAGACAAGGGTTACTGTTGCAATGGGAAAAGCGTGTTACCGTCACGGAAAAATTGGAGTCATGCGGGAGTCTTCAAGGATTATCCCTGAGTTGCGGGGCTATAATCAAAGACTCGGTTGCGAGGGCTCATTCGTGGATTTACCTTGATGGGCGCTCGTTGCTAAACGTCGGGTATTTTCCGGGTTGGAATTCTTCAAGGTTTTGGCTGGAGCGGTAGCTGGGGTCACGAGTACCTACCGAGCTGTGCGAAGGTTTAAATACTAGCATGGCTAGTTGGTGAAACTGCAGAAAATGCGTTTTTCGTAGCTGAAAATTGTACGCGGGTTTTTTTGGAGTACCTGCCGCAGCCGCGCGATAGGTGAACGTCTGCACGGCGAACCGGTCAGGTGGAGTTTCGAAAATTTCTACAGAGGGTAACAATACGAAGGAGATCGACGGCATTCTGCGGAGCATAATATTTATCTACGGCGTCGAACAGAGCCAGAGTCTACGTGGCGCAGTTGCCCTGCGTTATAGGGTCGCGCTGAGACTGGTCCCGACGAACAGAGTTTGAAGATACTTCAAAGTTTTCTAGGTCTGAAGAAACTTGAAGCAGGGTATTTTCGGCATCGACGTCAGAAGATTTTCTTTTCATGGACGGGGGAGAGAGCAGTTGCGCAGCAGTTGTTTTTTGGATTTTCCCTCGACAATTGGCATCCGCTGCATGCGCATCGACGGACAGATGCAGTTTGACCAACTGAATCGACGGATAGATAAAAGTTGGTTTTTTCTGGAATTTCGCAGGAGTTTGCGAAAGTTGAAGGCGTGTTTACATTAACCGCTTGATGCGACATCGAGTATGGTTACTGGACTGATTGTGCTTTCGTCTATTTGCTGAGGGAATTCGCTGACTTTCGTGAGACACAGACGCGTGTTCTCGCATGTGTCGCGAATGACCTCGCATTTGACGAATTGCTGGAGTTCGTTAATTTCGCGAAATTCTGACGCGTGTGTCCGCGAGTGTCACGACTCACGTGGAATTAAACGAGGAGCTTGTTAAGACTAGAAAGAATGAATAGAAGAAGGGAGAACAGGGGAGATATAGCGTTTGGGTTGTACCCACTAAGAACATACCCTATCTAGCCTATAACTTCTACACTACAATATATGTATAAGTTGACACACCCCCTAGGCTAGATAAGGGGTAGTGCTGAGCAAGAAACACGCAGCTCAGGGTGGCACTACTAGTCCAACCTCTGAGGTAGGGGCCCGAAGACCAGTCACCAAGAGTACAAGCAAGACAGAGCAAACCAGAGCGGCACTACTAGTCCAACCGCTGGAGGAATAGCCACAAGGCCAGTCTGGAAGGCATAAATAGAAAGCAGTACACAATCAAGGGCCTAGCAAGTGAAAGTCAACAGGGACTAGACCTAACTGCAAGCAGTGCCGCTGATGATCTCTAGGCGGAAGTGCCTTAGAAAAGATACCAGCTGTGTTGGCACCCGAGGCCAACTGTACTACGCGGGCCTGGCGACAATGCTGAAGCTCGCGCAGGAGGGAGTACCGCAGCTGGATGTAATTCGCTCTACCGTCATGTCGAGGCTCCTAACACAAGAGGATTATGGCCCTGTTGTCAGCGTACATAACCGGGGCAGAGCTAGGCCACTCACCTAAGTCGGCAAGCAAGAAGGTCAGCCAGTGGAGCTCCTGTGTCGCCATGGCACCGGCGTAGATCTCAGCCTCGCAGCTAGACTGAGCAACAGACGAGGAGCGAGTGGGCCTCCGCGAGATAGCACCAGAACCAAGGATAAAGCAGCAGCCCTGGGAGGACCAGAGTGTCTCAGCGTCATCTGCCCAAGAAGCGTCTGCGT